GATTTCGTTTTTTAGTAATTTGATAATTTTTTTAAATTTTTACCTAAACATTTTTTGTTATTTTGTGCATATTAATTACTCTATTATACAGTTAAAATGGGAGAACAATTAAGAATCTAGATTTCATTTAAATTTTATTTGTCATATATATATTTATTTATATATATATATATATATATATATATATATATATATATATATATATATATATATATATATATATATATATATATATATATATATATATATATATATATATATATATATATATATATATATATATATTTATTATATATATTATATATGTTACGGTTAAGGTCCAGTACCCGGTTAAGGTCCAGTACCCGGTTAATGTCGACATTACCCTGTTAATCTCAAAAATAACGCACGACAAAACAACCAAAAACAAAACCAAACCCAAACATTAACCTGTTAATGTCGACATTAACCGGACATCAGACTTTAACCGTAACATATATACTTTTTACACCCTCCAGTTTCAGCAATTTTGTTGAGGTTATTTAGATCGAAACAGCAAATTAGTAGAGATTATGACTTTATTTATGCAAATTAAACGTAAGAAAGGTTAAACATCACTATTACTACTACTACTGCCATTACTCGCTGACGAGTATTTGACACGCATCCTAAGACGATTACGCAGTCATGAGCATTTCTGTGACTGAAAAGTCTGATACCTGATATTATCTATCTTCCGGACATCCAAAAATCTTATTACTTAGATGCCTCTTCACTTTTTAGTTGTCGTTGTTAACTGAGTTTGCAATTCTTCTCCATTGCCTTATGTTATGCGCTGCTTCCTGCCAATGATTCCGTTTGCTTATCCTCTTTAAGTTTTCGTGGAAAATATCCTTGTACCTTTTGAGTTGTCCTCCCTGTTTCCTCTTACTGTCAACAAGCTCGCCGTAAAGAAGAGATTTTGTTGGCGGTTTTCTTGTATCCTGCATACGTGACCAGCCCACCTTAAGCGGGATTTAGTAATCATGACTTCAGCGCTCTCGCAGCTAGCTCTTTCAAGCACTAATACGTTTGAGCCCAAGGATTTGAGACATGGTGGGACAATTTGATTCTTAACAGTTGTCTTAGGTGTCTCTGTTGCAACTTGTTTAATGCCTTCATGTGCCGGCGCCGGCGGTACGGCATTGGCACCCAGGTTTCTCTTCGTATAACATGGTGTTTACACACTAATAAACAAGAACTTGTGACAAGAACTACTACGATTGACAATTGACACGGTTGGCATACGCTAACTTGTCAGTCAATTGGGTTGACTCCTATACAGGGTGTTTCAAAATAAATGCGAAAAACTTCAGGGGGTGATTCCTTGTTCAAAATAAAGGGTAGTTTGCTTCATAAACGTTGGGTCAAAAGTCAACCATTAGGGAGATATCGCGGTACAAAGATGGCGGAAAAATAATGTTCTTATTTTTTATCTTGAAAACGAAAAGAGATAGACTAATGAAATTTTATGGAAGCATTACTGTTCTGAAAACACACTTTCTGGTAATTTTTTCACTTTTTTAAAATGAGTGGAAGAGGTTGAAATAAACTACCCCTATCATTCTTGTTAACGAAATTTAAAGAAAAATCTTATCAAACACATGCAAACAAATTAATTTGGATAGTTTAGTTTGTTTAGAAACTTTTTTATCTCTTGTATTTTTTTTATAAAACTCACCGATTTGAAATTAAAAAATAAAATGTAAAGCATTACATATCAGGACTAAAAATATTTTTAGATAAAGAATCTAGTGATAATGATAATAATAATAATCTAGATAATAACGTATTGCAGTAGGGTAATGGCCAAATAAAACAATATTAGAAACATCCTAAAAAGTGACAGCGGCCGACTAGATTTTTTCCTAAAAAAATTACAGTTGCCCACTAGATTCTTTATCTAAAAATTTTTTTGTCCTGACATGTAATGCTTTACATTTTATTTTTTAATTTCAAATCGGTGAGTTTTATCAAAAAAACACAAGAGATAAAAAAGTTTCTAAATAAACTAAACTATCAAAATTATTTTTTTTTGCGTGTGTTTCATAAGATTTTTCTTTAAATTTCATTAACAAGAATGATAGGGGTAGTTTATTTCCACCCCTTCCACTCATTTTAAAAAAGTGAAAAAATTACCAGAAAGTGTGTTTTCATAACAGTAATGCTTCCGTAAAATTTCATTAGTCTATCTCTTTTCGTTTTCAAAATAAAAAATAAAAACATTATTTTTCCGCCATCTTTGTACCGCGATATCTCCCTAATGGTTGACTTTTGACCCAACGTTTATAAAGCAAACTACCCTTTATTTTGAACAAGGAATCACCCCTTGAAGTTTTTCGCATTTGTTTTGAAACACCCTGTATATCACTTATTGAAATTATTGCCATAAAAATTTGTGAATTATTAAAATTTAATTTAGAAAAATTTTAAGACAAATCCATTTTGAAAAAATATTTATTACTTTTTACAATTTTTTTTATTTGAATTATTAATTTTTGACTAACTTTTATATCAATTTGTATCAAATGACGTACATAGACCAGCCCAACGGAAATCATATCACATTGTCATGTCAAAGGCTACTTTACCGCCTTTTATTGATCGTATTCTATATCTGCGTACCTCTACACTCCCACCACCACAGGAAAAATAAGTTTAACATGCAGTTCGGGCAGTGATGCAGCTAGTCACTTTCACTTAAAAATTAATTACAGGAAACAACTTATTTTTATATAATTTCGTCTGAGAAAGTTTAAAGCTTTAAATTTTCTATTTTTAATTTGTTAATAACGATAACAGAATTAGTCGAAATTACTAGTCTTGTTAACCTAGTAATAAAGTTTTATTACATGCCAAAAATGAAATGAAATTACATATTGCTTAGAGTTTTACTAGTTTTCCTGAAAATAACAAGATCGCGTGCACATGCATTGTTTTTCTTAAATATTTTTATTGCTTCTCTTCTTTTGAAAATACATTAGTAGTTTTTTTTAATATTCCATTATACCATTGACATTTTGACTCTATAAATATTTTGTACTTTGAATTTACATTAGAGAAAAATAAATATGGAAATGTAATAAAGATAATAATTACTAATATTAGTTTACATTAATAGTTTATTTAATAAATTGGGTATTCCTTAATGACATATAAAGATGTTGATTCTCACTATACCTTCCGTATCAGCTCACTTCCGTTTCCCTTCCGTTTACATAAAATATTATATCATGTAAATGAATAGGACAATGCACACTATCCGTTCCGTTTCCCTTCAGTTTCATATCCTTTCCTTCCATACATTTTTTGGCGGATGGACTGAGCGTATCGGAAACAGCGTTGTCAAGTTCTTACATTTATGCCAGCTCTGTTAACATTTTGCTGATATTTATTTGTTCTTTCACCTCTTAATTAAATCAAGGAGATGGTTCGTCAAATTCAAATTTTTTATTAGACCCCATTACGTTTTACAGATTAATAATTTTACTATTCTTAATAAAAGTGTGTCTAAAGGGATCGCACCGCAATTAAAAAACCGATACAAAGACACAAAGTGCCAGAGTGGTGCGACCCCTAAAACAAAATAGAAATAAATTACATTACAAAAATAAACAGAAATCAGATAAATAAACAAAAAAATATAAAATATAATTTTATCAGGGATGAGCGGAGATAAGCAGAGAGGCATAACGAAACAGAACCAATGACGGACATATCAGAAGAACAAGAACCTCACAAATCAGTCAAATATATTATAATTTTCACGAATTTAGTAAATGATTTTTAATTTTTATAATCTGTAAAGGATTGAAATTTAAAGATCGTCGACCTCTTCTATGAAAAATACTTTATGAGAATGTACGGTAAAATTGTCTAATTTATTTCCATAATATCTCTGATGTTATTAGGAGATTTTGTGCATTTTCTTTATGAAATTTAATACATATTTTTTATGCTTCATTTTTTTTTAATTGTACCTATCCCTAAATAGTACTAGTAAGTACATAACATAACTAAGAAACATCATTGAAAAATTGGTGAAACATCTAGAATTAAAGAACATAAAGATTATTTAAGAAAGGGAGATTTTCACAAATCAGAGATTTGTCAGCATTCATGGGACACAGGACACAGAATAAATTTTAATAACGCCAAAATTAAAATGAAAGAAGCGATAGCCTCTAAAAGAAAAATAAAAGAGGCTTTTTTAATGCAATCTAATAAAAATAAATGTATTGCTCATGCATCTGTAGATGTTAGTAATGTATGGCAATCGCTTCTTGAAATTGATTGAACGAAACGAACTTTGATTTTAACGAAAAAGCATAACATAAATAAACATAACATACGTTAAAATTAAAAATAATCATACACAAAGTTTGGGTTTTTTGGTTTTACCTTATTAAGTAATTGTTATCAGGTAGTAATTGTTAATTTTGAACTTGATATATAATGTCATTTTAATAGAACGTCAATGGTTTTTGTAGACGTATCTGTTTAAAAAAACTGTTGTGTTCTCGAATAGTTGAATTTAAATATTTTAAATAGTTTTTTTCTTTATTTTTTGTATTTTTTTGCTTTCGACGACGGAGAGAGATAAACTTTCCGAAACGTTAAGCATTTTTTTGTTCGTTAGGCAAATTTGTATATTTTTAAACCTAACTTCTGACAAGTAGTTTCCATTTGGGATTAACGCAAGTGTTTACATAAAATAATTATTTTATTTTGTAGATTTTCTTGCAGTGGCGAAAAACCCATATAGGATTTTTTGGAGATAACTAAGAAATTTCTTAAATTTGAATATATATGTCTTTTTATACAATATGATCGAAAAATAACGTCGTCATCGATGGCTATGAAATGAAGATCGCTGTCATTTTATATGTAAATATGGGGAATTTTATCTATTGTCATTTCTAAGCCAACTGGACGCCGTTTTTCTTCGATCATACGGTATTTTTTTGTTGCTATTTTTTTAGTAATGGAAGTTGCCTGCGGCGAACATGGAGACTACGTTCAAAAGCTGGTGGTTGCTGTCAACGCGGGTCGTTGTAGCAGTGCCATATCTAAAGCCATAGAAACAGGAAAGATAATCTCCAACGATATCGTGAAGCAAAATACGGCTATGAAGCCCAACGGCGAATGCCTCACCTTGCCCAATGGATCTGAGAAAGCAGGTGGTCTAGCGTTGCCTACCTGCACTACATCACTATTAGGTAAGACAGTATATGGTCTTGGGAAAGGGGTGGCAAAGGTTAGTCTTGGATTGAGATTTCCGTATGTAAGAAGAGTACAATGCGTTAATAATGTACTGAACAAAGAGAGAACAGTAAACACATTGACAAACGTAAAATAAATAAACCGAGAAACTGTGCACATTGCTAAGAGACGTGGAAGGGGATATAGCAGATTTGTCGATTTATGTCTCGTGATACTTTATTTGTTTATTTATTAATGAGTCGTTGTAATTTTTTCTATAGCTTGTAAAATTTTAAGCGCAAGCTAGAAACACTTGCATTTTTGGTAAAAAATAAGTGGAATTGAGTTGGTGTTCGACAGTGGCAGTGGTTTGCGCTATTAGAACTTTGAATTCAAAAATCGATATATCGAAATCTATTGGAAATAATTGATTGTAGTTTTTTCAAAAACTTTCTTAATATTTCTGCTGTATTTTCTTAGTAGACAGTATGTAAAAATATTAATATAAAAATAACACGATTGCTGAAATTTGCTATGCTCTAAAAGTAAATGGATGGGTTTTTTGTTAATATATTTAAAGTTTATATTTAACAAATTTGTTAATATATTCCACCAAAAGTAGTATAATTTAATATTTTCTATTTTTTTTTATTAGACTCATCGGAAAATTTGACACCTGAGAAAAACGGATTTAGTACTTCAGGATTTTCCCAGTTTCTGATATTGTTACGGAGAACGATGTGTATAATATTCAGGTCAGTCTTTAAAATATTTATTTATAAGCTCATGTTCAAAGTTTGTCGACTTTGTCTATCGTGGTGAAACACGATCTAACAGCACAATCGGTTAGGTTATGGATATAAAACTTTTGTGCTACACTAAATCGCTCATTTTTAACACTTTTCCTATACATGGTCCGTTAATAGTGCGTCGGGCATCTGTAGCTCCTAAAATTAAAAACTCAGGAATTTTGTTTAAGTGCAAACCTAAAGTATGTATTATGATGTATTTCGTATATTGGAAAATAATTTAACCTCTACAGGGTGACTCAAAAAAGTGTGAGTGGATCAGGATGATTTTTTTTAAATGGAACACTCTGTATATTATTACATTTTTGGCTTTCTTCCTGATCACATTACATAATCTTAAGATCTTTTTAAATAAGTTTTAGTGGTTTGAAATATAAAACCGGAAATATCTGCGAAACCGTTAAAAATTTTGAAATACCATAAATACAAAAATGTTCATTTTTTAATTCTCAATTTACTAAAAAAATAATATACAGGGTGTTCTGTTTAAAAAAAAAAGAAGAAAATTTATTTTACATTTTAGAAAGTTTCGGCGTAGAATTTTGAACATCCTGTATGATTTAAGATTACGATATTTATAGTAAAGTAAGTACAGACCATCTAACGTAAATATAGTTTTGATTTCAGGACAGTTCTTGTATTTTTAATAGTTTTTGTAAGAAAGGCTGATAAAATATATATTTTTTATTTATTTATTAATATCTCTGAAACTATCGAAATATATCCACTCATATCTTAGGATTATGCAAAGTTATCTGAAAGGAAGCCAAAAATGTAATAATATTAATTTATGATTTATATATTTTTTATATAATTTTTTAAATGGTGTTCCATTTAAAAAAAAATCGGCCCGATTCACTAGCACTTTTTTGAGCCACCCTGTAGAAGTTAAAATATTTATTTTCCTGAAATACATCCTAGTACATACTTTAGGTTAGCATTTAAACAAAATTTCCAAGTTTTTTTATTCTAAGAGGTACAGATGCCCGACGCACTGTTGCCAGACCCTGTATAAAATATCAATTTCTTAAGTTATTCTTAATTTTTAGGGATAAAACTTTGACTAGGCTTCGAGTGGTATCTCATTTCATTATTGGAATCCTGATTGGTTCCATATACTATGGAATAGGTAACGACGCAGCGAAAGTTATGAGCAACGCTGGCTGCTTATTCTTCACTGTCATGTTTATGATGTTTACAGCTATGATGCCCACAATTTTAACTTGTAAGAAAACCACTGAATCCTGATTAAACTAACCCTACTATACACCATAAATTTCCTATTTCAGTTCCTCTAGAAATGTCAGTATTTGTCAGAGAACATTTGAATTATTGGTACTCTCTTAAGGCATATTATTTTGCGAAAACTTTAGCAGACATTCCTTTTCAGGTAAGTCTATTTTCTGATAAAATTATACGAGAAGAAATAGTAATAGCGAAATTTTTAGATTGTCATGACAAGCTGTTACATCGTTGGAGTGTATTTTATCACAGATCAGCCTCTAGATCCGACCAGATTTTTTATGTTTTTGCTGATAGCAGTGCTGACTGCTTTAGTATCGCAAAGTTTCGGTTTGTTAATTGGTGCTGGTTTCAATATTGAGGTAAGCAAAAAAAAAGTTTTCTTGGATTGGAGGGTTACTGCAGCGTATATTATTTAGCTATCAAAAGGTGCGTTCACACCGGCTGCGCCGCTCCGCGCCGCGCAAAACAATTTTTTTAAGATGTACTTTTGAAGTGTAACGGCCCAGCCGGTGTGAACGCACCTGAATGTGATTATTTGTTAGTAAATAAAAAAAATATAAACAGTTTTTTGCATTATCTTCTAATTTAGGTAGGAAATTTTATCTATGCAAAATATCAAATTAGATATACCGTGTGTTGCACCATCGACCTGAACATAGGAAATCCCATGTAAATTTTAAAAATGATGAACAAGTTTTTCCTATTTTAGTTTACAGAAAAAAATATTTCAAACTTTTTAAAGAACTCCTTAAATTGAAGCAAATTGTTCATTTTGAATAATTGTTCATACAAGATAATTTTTTAGGAAGTGATACAAAAGTACTAAATTAGGCGAAACTTTAAAATAATCCGATCCTGGTCAAACAAACGTAACAATCACAACTTATGTCACAATATGACAAATCTATTATGATTTTTTTCTACAGATCTGTCAAAAATATCCCAAGATATATTCTCTATCTTTGAATAAAAAGAGTAAGGAAGAAGTAGTAGTAGAGCGCTTTATTACAGTTATGGCTTGGAGACTATGAAGTCTCCAAACCATACATAAGCACAGGTAGAATGCAGCTGTCGTAAGCCTTTTTCTTTAGGTTGATGGGCACCTTTTTATCCTTGAAAATATCGCTCATATTTCCAAATGCTACCCATGCCAAATAGATCTGCGTCTGATCTCCGTATTTTGGGTCTCTTTACCCAGCTTGATTTTATGACCTAAAGATATATAATGGTCTACGTTTTCAATAACAACGTTGTCTACGGTATTGTTATGGATATTGTTGCTCATTATCTTGGTCTTCTTTAAGTTCATTTTAAGGTCAATTTTCTGGAATTGGTCATTTAGCTCATTTAGCATGGTGTTCAGTTCTTGAATGTCAGTGCTCAGCAAGAAAATATCGTCCGCGAACCTAAGATGGCTAAGGTGTACCCCATCGATGTTTAGACCTCTATTTTCCCATTCTAATTTCTTGAAGGCATTTTCCAGTGCCAGTGTAAATAACTTGGGAGAGATGGTATCTCCTTGTCTCACGCCCTTCCGAGTGGTATTTTTTTAATAATGGAATAATATTTTGAATCGATTCTCGCATCCTCTTTGACATCTAATCCTTGATAAGTAGCAAATAAAAGCAAAAATGCAGGAAAAAATATATAGTTATTTAATTTTAAGTGAATTTTATAAATGATTGGTTCACTACACGTCTGTATTTTATATAATCACTTACTGGTAAAAAGTTATTCCATTATTTCTCTCGATTTTTGACCGAGATCTACTGCACGCTACACATCCAACTATTTTAGTCTTTTTCGATAAATCGCAATAATGTCACTATTAATTTAAGTTCTGCCACAATTTTCTTCTAGATTTACTACCTTTAAACAACTGTCAGTAGTAGAATATATAGGTATTAAATAACAGAAAATAAGCTCAGTAAAGACTGACAAATCCACCAAATTTAAAAACAAAATTTAAATGTGTCAAGTGAATCGTCAAACAGAACTGTCAAGGATCTCCACCCTAGGGCCCTCTCCGTCTACCATGCACATGTATACTCCTTCCTTATTCTTTGTATAGTAAACGCCACGAATGTTTGGGAGTGATTTATCGGTCGCTACCATGTGAACTAATCTGTTCAAGGTCACATAAAACTTAATTGCAGTGCCGTGGTGTTTCAAATCATTATAATAATCAATATATAATCTGTTGTAATTTGTTGTTTTAACTGTCAAAGTCTTGTCAAAACATATATTTGGTTGTAAATATAAAATGGAATGCCCCATTGGGCGCACTGCAAGCACACCAATGGACTGACGCACAAAAACGAATCAATCAAAGAAACGCGATATAGTATCGTCTTTGTCAGTCACGCTAACATTTTAGAATAAGTAGGAGGAGCGCAGTTAGATAATTAGACCGGGCCTTTAAAAACCTACGTCTGCGGTAAAAATTTACGTTTCTAATGTAAAAATGATAGCGCGCGTGTCGATTCTAACTTCATCAAGCGATGAATCACTCCCATACATTCGTGGCGTTGACTCTATTCAAAGTTCTCTATAAAGATTTAACTGTAAACAAAATAGAATCTTTAAAAAATTAAATATATATTTCGTAGATAAGTAAACACATTGCTTCAACATATTTATTAAACACTAAACAATTAACAAAATTGAGTACTTTTTAATTATACTTTCACCCCGTCCAATAATTCGTGTCAGCAATACTTAAAAGACTTAAAATTACGCTTCCTCAACAAATTCTTCTTCTTTAAGAATAGTATTTTAAGATTTAATTAAAATTATAGAGTGGCGTATTTTTGGGCCCTATCTCCACGATCCCCATGGTGCTCTTCTCCGGCTTCTTCGCCAACCTAGACGACATCCCTTACTATTTAAAATGGCTGCCCTACATCAGCTACGTCAAATACAGCTTCGAAGGCAGCATGGTGGCCATCTACGGTTTGAACAGGCCAAAGTTGCAGTGCACCGTCGACTATTGTCACTTCAAATACCCCACCGCCTTCCTGAACCAAATGTCGATGAAAGGCGACATGACAACCTATTTCATTGACATAGCGGTGCTGGGGGGTCTGTTTGTATTTTTGAGGATCGTCGCGTATTTTGTGCTTCGAATAAAACTGTTCCAGAATCGTTGAACGCTTCGCCAGTTTGTGGTGGGAAATTGTGATAGATGAGATTTATTATCCCTAATTTAAGTTGTATTGTGATTTCGTTTCGTTGGAGATTTGATTTTAGATCTTTATTAAAACGGTGGTTTTAGTTTATACAGTGTTAAAAACAAATAACATTTTTTCTGCTTTAAAAATCACGCTAAATTGTAAATATACTTAGTCTTGTAGTTCTGGAAACTATTAAATAAACAAACAAATCTTTCTGTTGTTTTTCAAGACTTTGAAGTTATGTGATAGGAAAAATAATTTTCTTTATATTTATATACAATTTTAAACTGCTTGGGAACCTTTTTTTTCTTATATTATTTACTCAAGGAGAATGTGCATAAGATATTTTAAAAGACATATTTTAAAATGTTTAAATTATAGTCTAAGAGCTAGCAACATTTTCGAGAAAGTATTTTAAGACGTCTGGCTCTTTGATACATCTTTACTATGCTCTCTGGAACAGCATGCGGCCCGTCTGGCTACCGATACCCGTTGCATTCACTACTGCGCATCGGAAGAAGATCCTATTTTTTTTAAATTTAGTCCTATAAATTCTAGTATTGAATATAAATCGAACATGTCTCTATAGGGCAGTTCGTAGAGTTTCCGACTACGAACCGATGATTCGGAGTTCGAATTCGGATCAGGGCAAAGACTTTTTTATTTTATTTTTGTTTATATTCTGATAGTAAAGTATTAAATAATTATGGTGATTAAAAAAAAACAAATATTTAATACTTTACTATCAGAATATAAGCGAAAATAAAATAAAAAAGTCTTTGTCCTGACCCGGATTCGAACTCTGAATCGATTCGTGGTCGGAAACTCTACGCACTGCGCTATGGAGACATGTTCGATTTATATTCAATACTAGAATTTAAAGTACTAATAAAAATATAGGATCTTCTTTCATTGCGCAGTAGGGAACGCAACGTTTACCGGCAGCCAGACGGGCCGCATGCTGTTCTACAAAGCATAGTAAAAGATATATGAAAGAGCCAGACGTCTTAAAATACTTGGTTTTCCGACATTGCTAGCTCTCGTACGAATATATGATATTTGCATGGGCATTGAAAATATTTTAGTTATACAAAACATTTCGAATTCTTTTAAATGTTTTCCATTGTAAAGCATGAAAAAATAGGTTTAGTCAACTTAGTTTACATTTCGAAATGTAATTTTATTCTTTTAGAAAAGCAGAAAAATATACAATAATATTTAATACGAAGATTGTATTAAAGAACTGTAAATATAAAAATAATCAATTATTCAACATTAATAAATTTTTTATGGATATTAATCATGTGATTTTTAAAGGAGGTTTTAGAAAATATATTAATTATTTACTATTAAGCAAAATGCCATAAAATTGATTTATTTTATATGACACTGTATGTCATCATCATATTTAACAACGAATAAGTTTTAGAAAAGACACATCACAGGAGGTTTGAGGACACAAAAATCCTGTAATACAGCGTCACTTTAGTTATGATATTTATTTTGTGGAACGTTAGGCCCATTTGTAAAGATCTACAGTACTGAGAGTTTTAAAATATTAATCTCTAAAATTGTTGCTAACATTTGGTTTACGTATTTTTTATAAACAATATAAATGTAACGAAAAAATAGCATTAGTAGGAGCTTGAGAGATATTCACTGTAGGCGTTTTATTTTTGTATACTATTTAGGATTATTACCTTTCACTCAAATTTTTGTGTACCTATTTAGGTAGATATTAAGATTACCTACTCAATATTTACAAATACATTTTTTTACACGTATTATTATGTCTGTTATTTACCTCCACCCGATTAAAAAAAATACTCTGTATTTAACTTTATTAAAACTTAACAGTGCACAACATTAAATATAATAATTTACAAAAATAGATATACATATTGGATTCTCCAAGAACAGGATGCATATATTTCGTTTTTAAGTAAAAAAATATATTGAAAGGACATCTAGTGTTGACAAATCTATTGTCCTAAAATTTCTGTAAATATAAAAGACGTAACCAAGGAAAATGGTAGTATTTTTTATGAATAATGTGAAATTTTACAGTTTAAAAAAAATATTAAGATTAGGCCTCTTATTGAGAATGCGGATTATTCCAAGAAAATTACGATTCTTAACTTTTGTTTTTTTATAAAAGATCTTAACTTTCAGTTAAGTCTTTGTTTTTTGATACATTTTTTAGATTCATCTGTTTGATACAATTTGGACAAGAAAGTTGTTCAAAACATGAAGGTAAGTGTTTTTCTTCTATAAGTAAAAATATATAATTGTTTTTTGTCTGGACAACATTAATTGTTTTATAAAATCCTAATAAAATACATGCATACCATTTCCCAATATTCCTTACTAACGTTTTCGTTTTTTTTTTTGAAATTGCAAAATACTACTTTTTCAGGAGTTCGGGATTTCGTTTGAAAAATCGCTTTTTAACAAAATAAACAGTAACAAAAATGACACCAAGAAAAGCCAGGCCAGCTATAATTCCTAGAAAGAAAGTAATTATTGTTATTGCTTTAATATCAATTATTTTTACCTGTGGATATAGCTCTAATGCTCTTAAACCCTGGATATAAAGTTCTAATTTTTTCACTTATTGCTTGCTGATCGTCTATGGATATGGCTAATACTTGTATATCGTACTCTGAACCTTCTATTAAATTTCTTACTGAAAATTTATAAATACATAAATAATAAAAAAATACTTTTGCATGTTATAGTTACTTAGATAGTTTGTTTCTATAGTATCAACAGATCCAAATATATAATCCTCAGGACCTTGAGTCCATCTGAAAAAATAAATAAGTATTGGGAATTACTGTATAATAATTTTTAAATCACCTAACGACATAGTGCCTTAGGAATTCCATTCCAAAGTCTGGTGGATCCCATGTAACATAAAGCCCTTCATCTGTTGGTCTTACATCAACATTTCTTGGATATCCAAGTGGTGCTGGACCTAAATCAGAAATAAGAACAAATTGTATGCTCGTAAATCTATCTACCTATAAGCTATATCAATTAAACTTTTAGTTACGTAATCGAGGGCGCGATTTTTAAATTCATTGTTGCCAACCGGGGATATGTTCGGCGCCAGGCTGACTAACTGGAATTTAAATTTCCCGCTGGGGATTCAGGTGGTAGCTCTGCTGTAGAAAATGTCAAGTTGCCACATTTATTTATTTATTTCCTGCCATTGTCATTAGTTTTGACACTTTAGTTTTGTATTACGGGTTTTTGCTTTAAATTAATTGTGATAATTTAATCTTTAAAATGTTTACTAGCAGACCTTGCACTCGAACATTGTTCTTTTTAGAACATTTTTAGTGCGAAGTATACAAGATAGCTTAATAGTCTATGCAAAAAACTCATCTCAACCTTATTAGAATATTTCGGCAAGCGGTAGTAATAGGTCTTTGAGTGTGTTTAACCCAGTGCTGTAAAAGAAGTTAGTTTTGTTGTATAAATAATAACTATTTATATATTTATAATTATTTCTGTTTCCTAAAATATTTTGATTAAACGAAAATAAGTAAAAGTGGGAAACGCTGTGCCGATCAAGCTTAATCACGTGACTAAAAGTTTAATTGATAAGAACTACGGTAATCGCAAAACAATTTCCGATGCATGTGATCAACTTTGAGTGACAAGCGATGGCGACAGCGCTGCCAGATTGTGATGGATTTATGAGATGAATCTTAATTTAAAAGTGACAAACAATATATTTATTATATTATTTTTTAAAGATTTTTACGTTTTATTTTTAATTTGATAACTAATATTTTAGTAATTAATTGATTTATTTGTTTTATATAGCTCATTTTACTTATTACATATTGGCAAAAACTAGTCCATTATAAGGATTATTCTCAACGTTATTATGGGATATTTATTTATTTATTGATGTACATCTTGCAACGCCATAAGTGATAGTAACAAGTAAGAGGATGATATTAATGCACAAACTAATAATCACAGAATTTGATAAAAACTAACCTAGAAATAACTTTCAAAGTAGTGTAATGTGCTTATCAAACTTACTTCTCTGACTGCAGTCAAGGATAATAAAGGAAAGGAAGGAATGTCACGTTCTCATTCAAAATAGTTTATCATGGAAGCTACAAGCTCTTTCCTTCGACTGTTTAAATGCTTTGGCATATTTTTAACACATAATTTCAAGAAATGCAATACAAAAACTCGAAAATTTAGTTCCTAAAAGAACTGTTTGTGCTTTTAAAGTACAATTTTAGAAAAAGACTATGAAAATAGGCAAAAGAACGAGAGTTGCTCACAAAGATTCAACAACAACACCATATTATACAAAATAATTACTGACATTAGGATAATTGTTAAATAATAAATGACAACCTTGCTGAAAACGGCGCAATGTGAGCAACACAGCGATAATAAAATTCGGTTTAAACTAATTTTTGCAGCTTTAATCTAAATAAAATATCTGTTACAATCATTTGCTCTATAAAGTCAAATGAAGAGCTGCTTGGTATCTTAAATTATACAACAAATTTAAATATTTTTGCCAACATTTCATTTAGTCAGATTTATAGACTTTAGTATCAATGTCAATATGATTGATGACGTGCATCGGAAAATGTTTTGCGATTACAATATATTTGCTTTACCTCTGTAAAGATTGGTTTCTTGTTCCATGCTTTTGGTCCATATCCTTACTGATTTACTGAATGGACCATCTCCAGCATCGTCTTTACATAGAATCATAAATTCATATTCTTGTCCTACAAATATATGCATTATTAACTTTTCTGAAAAATATAAAATGTTAAAAATTGTTTGCCTGGTTCTAAGTTGGTAATAGTTGCTTCTAAAGATCTGGAAGATGGTACTTTATACGTTTTCCAACCAACTGTACTCTCAATCTTTTTATACCACACACTAAACTCAACATTCTTTTGTCTTCGGGATAACCATTTCAGATGGACAGAAGTTGAGGATGAGACCGCAGATAAATTGTATGGGGCACTTGATGGTATATTTTCTGCAATGAAAGTTATCGTAAGTCTTAAGTAGTGATGGGATAACTCGAGCGAAAATTCGTTCGAGTACTCGATTATTGAAATAACCGACATCGCTCGATTATGAACGAGCGATGCAAGTGACGAGTTACGAGCGACGAATGCAAGCGATCCTAGAAATAAATTGAAATCCGATTTTAATGTGACATACTCGATAAAAAGCCTAGCGAATTTTCTACATACATTGCAGGTAGCAAATTTATACGACGTTATCCGTTGCGTATTTGAGTGACAAAATTTTACGACCTACATCGACAATGCCTTGAAATAAACTTAATCAAACACGCGATCAAGCGAATCGCTCGTCGCTTGCTACTTGCCATTCATCACCGAAAGAATATGTGCTCTGCGCACGCAACTTACTGCTTGGCGTTACGAGTACAACAAGCGACGGGCGAAAAACCGTATTTTTAAATACGAGCGATATTTCGCTCGATTCAATAATCGAGTACTCGATACTATAAGTTTGTTTGTGTTAATGATACTCACCTACAAGTAATTCAGTTTCAGCAGTTACAGTTGCAGCTTTATTGGTGGCTGAACATTGGAAAATACCTCGGTCATCTTCTTCAATATCGGTGATAGTGAGATTGCCTTCGTTTATGGAATATCGACCCATGGGTAGTGATGATCCTTTCTGAATATATTCATCAAGATGATATAATGTATATTGAAAATAAAAATGTTAACCACAATACACCAAATAACTCAACTACAATTTTGGACATTAATAAGAAGAATATTATGTATTCTGATGAATTGTGGTTAGCAGATCTGTATTTTTTTACGTTGATGTTGTTTACCTTATACCATACTATCATCGGTTTATGGCCATTATCTCCATCTGTAGCATCGCAAGGAATTTCAACAGTTTCTCCCAATTTCTTTAGGTAAAGATTCTGAGGAGTTCTTGTGAATATTGGAGCTCTTTGAACTATAACGTACATTGATGGAGACGGTCCTTGAGTTCCTAAAAGTTGTAGCGTTGATTGAAGAAATAAGAAGATGCGCAACCTTATGGGCGATTTCGTGGCACAAAAGCTGTCCAAGATATAGCTGGCGTTACCGTCAGCCTGTCCGAGAATTCCGATATTTAGTTTAGCTCTGCGCTGCTGCGCGCTGATAGTCGTTTACAGCACAGCGGATAAAGAATACTGTACCGTAGATTTTCTTTCAGTCGACAGAGTGAGTGGTTGCTGGAGACAGCGTTCCCAGAACTACTGATTAATCCGTAGATTTACGGATTTTGGGTACAGTACGTTAATAATACGGATTTTCTATCATTAAACAATTTAATATGATATATTATATGATTAAACAAAGAACGGCGTTAGAGTTGGCTTGGTAATGAAGATCACTGATATTTCATAGTAAAATATTATGGTAAATGTCAATAATCGTAATTTCCAAGCCAACTAAACGACTTTTTTCAATCATACGGCACATTCAGTACATGTTAAAAGAATTTTTATTTTTGTTGTTTATTCTATGTTTAACACGAATAAATTTTCAATACATAAACGCGGATTTTTCATCCAAAGATATTTTCGTCAAATGTATTATAGATATTACACATTTTTATATGGCAACACTGTCGCTTTCAGATCCAAACCGTTTTCGATACGTCTTCGCTGATCGAATTGGAGAAAATAAGTGTTTTATGTGGTGGCCGCTGAACGATTGGTGTCTCCACCGTACAGCACTTGAGACACAATGGGGAATCAAATCAGCCTGTCACGAATTCGCCCATTAGGTTGCGTAGTTCTTTCATTCAACGATTCTTTTAAGTGTGGATTTTAAGCTTAAGCTTTTAACCAAGCTGGTTCTACACTTAGAATTAAGTGCATCCTTACGGATGCACGTCCCCCCCCCCCACAGTATCCAGCAATTATTGGTTTATTTAAAAAATAACAGCTCATGCTTAAATATGACTGAAGTAACGAAACGACAGACGACGCATTACGGATTCATATAAACCCACACTAAGTCCATAGTAGACTGGAATGCCCGTCAAGATTTTGGATCGCGAAATTGTTTTGGGTCGCAACCGTTGTACGCGATCTGGCGCTGCTATAGCGGTTGCTAAGAACAGCCACAAACAAAAACAGAAATAATTTTCACTTGTCTATATCTCTTGTCAAAGTCAGAATCTTCAAAAATTATAAAATCTTTTAAAATCTAAACCGCTCTCATTGAAAAAATTCCGAAAGTGTTTAAAACGTCCATTGTCAAAGTAATTATTGCTATCTTATGAGTTTAATTTAAGTTCTTTTACTCAAACCCGTCATATTTGTGAAAAAGTGGTATTACAAACTTAAAAAACTGTGCTGTGAACTGTGATCTGCAAAAACCATCGTGGATCGTGGTATAACGTCGGTTTCCAATGTTTCGTAGGTATTTCATACATGTCCTTATATAAAATAAAGTTTCTTGTATGCAACACACTGTATTTTATTTCTAAAATTAAAAGAAAATAATAATAAATTTGAATAAACCATATTTGGCGATATAATTCCGGAAAATGCCGAACCGCCCCCAAATTTTCAAAAGCTTTGGGTCGCGACCATTGCAAGAATAGCGCCAAATAGTGTTTGCATTGTCCTTATGGGCACTTTCCAATCTAAACTTGTTTCATTTATCTATGACTAAGACTATCTTACCCAAATCGTTATACGGAGTGCAAGTATAACTCCCACCATGAGTTTCGTCGACTTTGTTAAAATACAAGCTTCCATTTTTTCTGTAAAATACTCCTTGGACGTTGTAAGGATCAAAGAGGAATCCGTCTTTCTCCCAGCGTAGATTTGTTAGTGGCGGATTGGCTCTAAATGACATATATTATTTTCTACTCGTATTTCATTGAAAGAGGAATATGTTACCTGAAATGGCAGTCGATAAGCGCTGGACGCCCAAAAGGTAGGTAAATTTCTGGCGGAGCGTAAATAACCTTAGCTTTATCTGGAATAAAATTTATTAATTTGATTATTTTATATATTTTACTTAAGAAAAAACTCAAAATTTAAGTGAGGGTGCAGTCAATAATCACCACACAGGCTAATAAAACTGTTTTTTCAAATTTGTCAAGCTTTCGAGAATTTTGTTTCCATCATCAAGACAGTTTGACTGAGTCAATTAGTAAAAAAAAACAACCTCTGCACAATTTTTTTTAATTTGCTAAGACTAATTTCTACATTGTTGTTTCGAGCCCGATCAAACAGTGACAAACAACGTAGAAATTAGTCTTAGTAAATTTTGAAAAAAAATTGTTTTTATTTTTTTGTTTTAAAAAGTAATGTCGTTGGATATGTATTTTAATATTTTATAAAGGAAATTTCCTTGTATTCCATTGTCATATGATGCTAGTTTTAATGCCTTTTTGTGCAGAGGATGTTGTTTTTACTAATTAACTCAGTCAAATTGTCCTGATGATGGGAATAAAATTCTCGAAAGCTTGACAAATTTGAAATGTAGTTTTATTAACGTTTTATTAGTGATTTAAATTTTGAGTTTTTTAAGCTTAATCAGGCACAATTAAACCTGCCGTGTAACGACTAAACCTGCTAATATTTGACAAATAATGATGACGTAACGGTCAACGATGACTAAACAGTCTTTATATAACTTGCAACGTAGCCATATTCTTCCGTAAATCAGACTATAGATACTTACATTGTACATTAAGAAAAGCTTTAGCCTTTTGAACATCGCCTACATCATTACTAGCTTCGCATTCGTATTCTCCATAGTCTCCCATATCGGTAGGATGTATCACAAGGGTTCCATCTTTTTCCATCTAAAATGTATTTTTGAAATAAAGAAAATGAAATAAATTATATGTTATGTATATACCCATGATCTTTGCGTCAGATCCTGATACTCGCTTAGAGGTATGTTGTCTTTCATCCATCTTAACTTATATGACAAGTCTTTAACCACGCACATGAATTTAACCTCTTGTCCTTCTTGTACAGTTTGATTGATAGGAGGTATCGCCAGTAGGTTACCTCCTGCAATATAGAAATATTTTTATCTTTATTTATCGCATATACAGGGTGGCGCTTCTCATACGCCGCGGAGCTCCAAGGAGAATGACAGTTTGTATTAAAATGAAATTTTGTGAGCATATTTTTTTTTGTGAGTTAATTAAGACCACTTTTTAAAAATATAGAGAGTTCTACAGGGTGTCCCCAAAAAAGGTTACATATCAAAGTTGTGTTTTTGTTAAGGAAACACTATATATTAATTGATTTTCGGATTCTGGAAGAAAAATAAAGGTGAGTTTTATAAGAGAAGTATATGACTAAAATGTAAGGTTTTTGACATTAACATTTTCTAGAAATAAAGAACAATTTTTAAGTTACAATAATAAAAGCTACCTAAATTAGAATTTACCCGGTATAGACTAATATGTAGTTAAATTAACTATTGTACTTTAAATCAAATTAAAACTTGATCCAAAAAGTTATACAGAGTGAGACAAAATTAATATTGAACATTGGTCACCTTTAAAAGTATGTTACTCTCTTATTATTTTAAATGGAACACCCAGTATATTATTCCGATATTTAATGGAGAATTCATGTCTCTTCAAAATACTATTAAGGTTGCCTACCTCCCAAACAAAGATTTTCCTAGATATTTTTATTTACATGATTTGATCTGGGTAGATCTTTATTATTTGATAAAATCTAGGTGGCTATGATATGTCTGACGCTACTTCAACATAGCTGTCTAATTAATCCAACTTTAACAACTAGTTATCATTTTGTGTCACTTAAAACACAAAAAAATTCGCAGAAATTTGCCGAAATGCAAACTTATACTAAATCAGAGAGAATTGATATCAGTTGGTGAATGAAGAGTGTGCATTCGCCAATTAATAGAATACTTAAATGCTCCTGATTTTGTCTAGTCTGTGTTTTTTAAGGGGATATGTTAAAGACAGTGTTTAAAAAACTCGACCAACTATTGTGGACAACATGAGAGAAATTATTTTAGCTGCATTTCGACGTAGAGCTCCACATCTAGCTAATTTTTGTCACATAATTATAAGTTTATATAAAGTTTTAATTCTGTAATAATTAAAATATGTTTTAAACGTATATATTTTTATTACCGTTGAGTATTTTACTCTACAATCTTTATTTTTTGTTAAATTAACACAAGGTATATCACAGCCACCTTAGATTTTTTAAAATAACAAAGATCTACTGACGTAAAATCATATAAATTGAAATATCTAGGAAAATCTTTGTCTGAGGGGTAGGCAACCTTAATAATATTTTGAAGATATATAAATTCCTCATTGAACACCGGAATAACGTACTGGGTTTTCCATTTAAAATAAAGGAGTAACTTGCTTTTAAAAGTGACTAATGTTCCATGTTAATTTTGTCTTACCCTGTATAACTTTTCTGCTCAAATTTCAATTTGGTTTAACATACAATGGTTACTGTAATTAAATATCAGGCTATACAAGGTCAACTAAAATTTAGGTAGTAGCTGTTATGGAAATTTAAAATTTACTCTTCATTTTCACAAAATGTGAAATATGTCAAAATCCTTGGATTTTAGGTATATGCTTCTTTAATAAAACTCACCTTTGTTTTTTTCCTAAAATCCGAAAATCAATTAATATATAGGGTGTTCCATTAGAAAAAACACAACTTTGATGTGTAACTGTGTGGACACCCTGTATAATTATATATATTTTTATAAAATGCTTTCAGTTAACCTACATATGCTGCCAAAATTTCATTTCGATATAAACTACCGTTCTCCTTAGAGCTTCCGCGGCATATGAGAGGCGCCACACTGTATAGGCTTGGTGCATTCTCTGCCGGTGCTGCCGTGGGCTTATAGGTATTCTTCTTTAAGATACAGACAATTGAAGTACATAAATATATTAAAAAAATGTAGCTGAATAGTAGAAACTTAAAGAATGAAAAAACCGGCATCAAGTTGGTTTAGAAATATGGAGGAATATGTATGGTATGTCATATAACAAGTAGTTTGTGTTTATACTCTGTGTTTATACTAACCACTCACTGTGAGATGAAACCAAGTCCCGTTATTTCTATAAGATGGAGTTCTGGTAGGAAATCTAATCCGACATTCATACCATCCGGCATCTGACTCTCTGATGGAGGTAAGATTGATGGAAGCTCTACCATAATGCTGTACGGGTCTCTCCAAAGTAGGGGGATGAGGAGAATGATGCAGATGTTTATCTAGAAGATGAATTCTTCCCGAATACTCATCCGATTCTTTTATTTGATCGTCTTGCCATGAAAATATTTCAAAATCCTAAAAGGAACGATTCTTTTATTGATTGTATTTGTTTAAACTATACATCATAAATAATTCACTATAATACTTATTAGTTATTTCAGTTAATATACAGGGTGAGTCTTACATAAGTGCAAATATTTTTAAGGGTGGTATATTTCGACTCCAGGAACGTTTACATTAACGAGTTTTTTTCGCAAAAAGAGATGTCAAAAATCGTGCATTTTCTTTTAAATTTTCTTGATTTTAGAAAACTTTTTAGAACTGCCTGTTCACCTCAATTTTTTCCACGGTATAGTGTCAAAGAGGAGATAAATAGTGTCTTAATCTCTGATATTCCCATGGTTACGGCTTTACTCTATGGTTACAACACTAAAAAGGATGCAAATACAGAAATTTTTTAGAATCTCTTAGTGCGAAGTGGTACAAGATAGCTTTATAGCCGTATCAAAAAAAACTCATCGCAATTTTATTAGACTATTTGGCACGGGAAAGCGGTAGTAATGGCCCTTTATGTCCCTTAAGTGCTGTTAAGAAGTTTTGTTGATGTAAATAATAACTGTTTATATATTTATAATGAATTTATTTTTGTTTCCTTATTTTACTTTGATTAAAAAAATATATAAAAGTAGGCAACGCTGTGCCTGTCAAGCTAATCATTTGACTAAAAGTTTATTTGGTATGAACTGTATATGAATTTTTATACAATTTTAAATAAATAATTATCAAATGTAATACCACAAGGTGTTTCGCGATTACCGAATAATACTTTTACCTGACACGAAATGCGTTACCCGGCAACACTACGACTCCGAAGGAGGACTAGTGTTGCCAGTATCGCATTGAGTGCCAGGCAAAAGTATTAGGTAATCCCGAAACATCGAGTTGTATTCAAAAGATTATATAACGAAATAAAGTACATAATATAATAATTAAACAGAGAAGACCAGGCTACTAGTAACATAGCAAGTTGCCGGACGAATTTACGTTTACCCGATTTGCGTTCGTACTAGAGATTCACTGCCGATGCCGGCTAGTCGGCTGGTCAGGCAGTACGCAGTTGCAGTTGTGCTTGGACGGGTCGGTCGTGACACTAGGAATACGACGCGAGGAGTGCCGAGTATTTATTATTTTCATTTTAGGTGTTTACCTTCACTTAAGGTAACATTTAAAATAAAAATACTTAAATATTTATTATTTGAGTGTGTTTACAAGCCAAAATTAAAAATAAATAAATTCTCTAAACCCGAAAAAAAAACTAAAATATTATTCTAAATAAAAAAAGTTATAACAAGTGTTCAAAAAGATCACCTTCTTGTGCTAGATAGAAGCCTAGGCGGTCGTAAAATCCCCGTCTGGCATTGGCTAACATATTAGGGCTAATAGTTTGGAAAGCCTCTCGTATTTTTACTTGAAGCTCATCCAGATTATTAGCCCTATTATGACCATACACTTTGGATTTTACATAACCCCACAAAAAGAAATCATTGGGAGAAATATCTGGTGATCTAGCGGGCCACAAAATAGTTCCATATCCACTAATTAAACGGTTGGGAAAAGTATTGTTCAAATATTCGTGAACAATACGGGCATTGTGGATAGGTCAACCACCTCAGCAATTTGATTACTTGAAAACGTGGGATTTTGATCCGCGGTAACACAAATGAACACTTGTTTTAACTTCTGTTTTTCATTAATCAACACATCAGGCTTTTTGTGTTTTTGTGGGAACACGCGCCCATTTGTTTCAAAATTATTAATGACTCTTGATACAGTAGGTAAAGATGGAATTGGCCTGTCTACAAAAGTTTGTGGAAAAATTGTTTGTATATCCCGATAAGACCTATTTTGGAAATACCATTTTACAATTTGAATTTTCTCACGAACTTCGTAAACATCCATTATTTTACTTAAAAAATAAATTTTACACGAGAACTGTTACCGAGAATCTATGTATTCGTTTTGGCTATTAAAACACGAATAAATACAAATTCTGAAACATTCTTATCCCATATCTACCTATTTTTATTTTATCGCATTTTTTCGCCTGCGTTTTATCCGGCGGACGGGTATACGCTAATTCGTCCGGTTCTGCCTATGTTACTACTACGGTGGTCCGGTCTGTATAATATATAATAATGTAATATATATTAATTCAGAAGTCATTTCTGTCAGTTCCACAAAATATCCCGTCAATTCTTATTACAAAATGGCAAACTGTAGTTTTGTTATTAATACTAATTATTATAATAAAAATGTTTAAGATAAAAAGGATATATAGGGAAATTAAAACAACTATGAGTGCACGTCATAGGTGCACGTCATCAATGACACCATGCGTCGTCTTATGCAGTTTACTGGTGGTCGTATTGATGTGCAACCAAAGTTATTTTAATTTCTCGATATATGTCCTTCTTATCTTAAACATTTTTATTATAATAATTATTATTAATAACAAAACTACAGTTTGCCATTTTGTAATAAGAATTGACGGGATATTTTGTGGAACTGACAGAAATGACTTCTGAATTAATATTTCAAAAAATGACAGTTACAAAATGGCCACCAAGCAATAATCACTTAAATGATTATCACTTATTAATCACATCCTTCTATAGAGGAAAAATATACATAGAGTTGTATAATCACAAAAAGTATATTTATTAGCCATTTATAAGAGGAATCCTTTATTGGTATGTACCTAAATAGCAAACATTAGTGTAATGTTAAAAGAACATTTATAACACAGAGTTTGTTACATAATTTATTAACACAAAAAATAACACAATCACATTTTACACGAAACAAGGTTACATTATATAAATATATGCGAGTACGTCGATAGATTAATTATGAGTGTAGATATTACAGTCCATAGGTAGAATTTTAACATGTAGAGGGCGTTACATACTCCCCCTTTGGAACTTTAAGCGTCTCGCGAAAGTTACAACATGTATTAGTCTTCATCATCGAAAAATCTCTTGGGTCGTCGAATTCTGGTACCTTTTCTATGTGGTGGACGGCCTCTGGATCGGATAGGTCTTACTGGTTCGGGGTCTTCTTCACCTATGTATTTGCTAAGGGCTGAAGAATGGTATGTACCAACTGGTACCAGTGGAGACTGAAGAGACGCAACTTGATACGACGTCGGAGATACGACCTTTAGAACGGTGTAGGGTCCATCCCTTTTTGGAACAAACTTAGATGTATAGGATTGGGAGCCTTTACTAAGACTATGTGTGTTAACGAGAACCTTTTCGCCTACACTGAATTGCTGAGAGCGCCTGTGTTTATCAGCATGTGCTTTAGACGAATCTTTTCGCAATTCATTGGTCTCTTTAGCATTGGACAAAACGCTAGCCATTATCTTTAGTTTAGGTGTTATCTCGGGAATAAAGTTTTCGTTATCGACAATAGCTCGTAGATCACGCTCTACATCGTTTGGAGTTCTCAACTCACGGCCAAAGGTTAAATAGGCTGGGCTGTAGCCAGTAGATAGGTTAGTCGCGGATTTCATAGCAAACCTCACCGAAGACAGCGCCTCCTTCCACTTAGTATGGTCCCTTTCAACAATAATGGACAGTTGTGTCTTGAGGTCTCTATTTCTTCGCTCTTCTGGATTAGCAGCTGGATGGTACAAAGGAATAAGACTCTGGGTAAACCCAAGGACATGGGCGACCTGTTGTAAGACATTAGTGACAAATTGGGTACCATTGTCGCTAATTATCTTTCTTGGTGTACCAAATCTTAAAATAACTTCGTCAATGAGGCATTTTGCACATGCTTCGGCTGTGGCATTCTTAAGAGGATATAGTTCAATCCATTTGGTAGTGGTGTCCTCCACAGCAAACACCCATTTTTCGCCGGTTTCAGCCTCTGGAAGCGGTCCGAATAAATCCATGGCTAAAGTTTCAAATCGCTGTGCCAGAACTGGTGTTTGGATCAAACCAGAAGGCTTAAGATTGGTTGGTTTGTATCGCTGGCATTCTATGCACCTTTTGATGTGGTTGGTGACATCTTTTCGCATTGTAGACCAGTAAAATCGTTGAGATATTCTTGTTAGGGTTTTGTCAACTCCATAGTGTCCTGCCAATGGAGAGTCGTGGAACTCGCTGAGGATACTGGGTACCTGGTCCGAAGGAACAACCAACTGAGCGTCCTCTGAGTCAGAGTCGCCGTTATAGCGGTGCAAAATTCCCTGGTCCATAATATAACCTCTATTGGTCCATCTAGCAAGATCGACAGCATCAGGATTGGTGTTCTCGAAACATTCGATGATACTTCGCAGGTATGGATCATTTAACTGACCCTCTCGCGTTTCGGCAGCTGACTTACTAGGTAACAGAATAGTAACGGTGTTTACAGGAATTTCTGACAGCTCATTGATATCTGCCTCGACCGGTGGTCTGGAAAGCGTGTCCGCGATGACGTTTGTTCTCCCTGGAAGATAGTCAATCTTCAGATCAAAAGCCTGCAACTGGAGCGCCCATCGGGCCAATCTTCCAGTAGGTGACCTAAGTGACATTAGCCATCGAAGGGGCTGGTGATCACTCATCACGTGAACTTCTGTGCCCTCGATATACCCACGAAACTTGTTCACTGCATACACTAGTGCGAGAGCCTCTCGGTCGGCACAGCTGTAGTTTTTCTCGGCCGATGTAAGTAAGCGGCTTGCATACTCAACAGGTCTTTCGTCTGGTCCCTCCCCCTGGAGTAGACATGCGCTAATGGCGTAAGCGCTGGCATCTGTTTTTATGACATAAGGCTTGGTAGGGTCAGCTTGTCGTAAAATTGGCGCAGAGGTTAATAGAAGTTTCAGATGTTCAAATGCTTGATCCTGTGTGTTTCCCCATAACCATGACGCATTTTTCTTGGTTAGGTCACTTAGCGGTTTGGAGACTGTAGCAAAGTTTGGAATAAACCTGCGGAACCATGAACAAGTTTGCAGGAAGCTTATAACTTGTTTAGCATTCTTCGGGGCGACCCGGTTAATGATCGCAGCAACCTTGTCGGGGTCG